CATGCAAGAGAAATTGAAGATCTACGTAGGCAACTTGCAGACAAGGAGCAGCGGCTTGTAGACCAGGACTTTCTTATCCGTGAAATTCAAGCAGATTTGGAGAAGGAAATTGCAGAGCACGACTCGCTCAGGAAGTTCTGTCGGTCAAAAAGTATCATCTTGGTGAGTTAATCTATTCCAACAATATTATCTAGACACTGTATCTGATCATTCATTCGTTCAATTGTCTTGCTATGGAAGCCCGGTCCTAGCACTACCCTGAGGAATGAGCAAAGCAACGCTGGTATCCCTGTTTCGGTGCCGAAAGCTTCCACATCTAAACTGAAGGTGTCTCCTGTAGAGAAATTGAAAGTGAGTACACCCATTGCTGGCCAAACGAAACGCCTTTTGAACATATACACAGAAAGCAACAGCTGTTTTCCACCAACCTGCAAATGCTAATACGACGTCAAAGCGAGGTGATTCCCCGCACATCTCACTTCCCACACCTCCTACAGATCTCATGGAGTCGCAAGAGCCGCACCCCTCTCTTTCCCTGCGACAGGTATGGGCAATCATGTTTTTAAATTTTGTTGTGTTTCTGAACAGATCATAACTTGAAAAGAGACCGATGGGCAAACCGGACTCTCTACCTGTTGCTTCTTCATCGTCGACCGCTCCTAAGGCAAGAGCATCTAGACGTAGGAAGTGCTAATGACAACTAAAATGTTGCGTATAGATGCAATATGGTCCTCCCAGAAATAAACAGAAGGTTTTGCCTAGAATCTTGGATGTTGGTCCCAAGGTCAATATTTAACGCATCCCTTCGGTGCGGATAGAAACTTAATGTTTTGCACATCCAGAAGAAGCGCAGGGAACTTGTCCCAGAACTCGTTGAAGTCATTCGAGAGGCAAACCTTGTCAATCAAATCACGTCCCCGCCTACTCGACGTCGACCTTTAGATCAAGATATCATCACTATTTTGTCTTCAAGCGATGAAAAGAAGGACGACGACCGTTCTCGGCCTTCAAGAATACGCAATGGAACTAAACGACCACTTCCCTCATCTGCTCTTCCTCGGACACATCCAGCCAAAAAGCGGAAGATCTCGAGGATGCAGGTGTATGTAGAAGTAAAACCTCCTGATCCAAATTGGATTGTGAGGGACGTGGAGGACGTTTGGAAGGAGATTCAAGAAGCGAATGCGGAGGAAGTCAGGTTACGGACGGCTGTGAAAGAGGAGCCTGTTGCCGGGTCTTCAAATGCAACTGGTGAGGGTGGGGAAGACCAAGATGAAAGGGAGCACGAAGAAGATGATCGACGGGACGATGACGATAGTGGTGGGAAGAATGATGATGGTTCTCATGAGAGAGATGATTCTGAGGAGGGTCCGATGAGCGATTTATCAGAACTCTCGGATCTGACTGAGACTGAAGATGAAGGTGCTACCGACGATGAATATGCTGGAAAGTCTCAACGCAAATCGAGGTCTTCCTCATCTAGAAAGGTGAACTTTTTGATCGGTTTTCTTTGCGATAATGGATACTCATTCATGACATGTTAGAAGGCTACTCGTCAGGTTACACAGGCAGGATCGAGTGCAGGTCCGAGTGGATCGGTGAGTCTATCGTATCGACCCCTTTCAAAAGGCGTACAACCCTTGCTCAACATGTTCCGCGCAGACTCCACCCAGTCGAACCGGTTACAAGCTAACGGAAGTCACGGACCAAAAGTTTTCTATCAAGTTCGAAAACAAACCCTCACATGCCCTCTCCAACCACATATCATCCAAACGCCTCTTCGGCGTCCTGCCCTTCCCGATATCCTCAATTCTTCCCAATTTGCATACTCGAGTCTCTCGAGTTTTTATGTCAAAAACTTATGGAGGCTCCACATACAGGATGTACCCTAGCATCAACTCTAATTTCGGACATAATCATCGATTCTTATTCCCGAGATTAGAATTGAATCCAGATGCTCCTGGAGTTCCCGGACAGCCTGGTTTGTTATGCAGAGTTATTGACTCGACAGATTGGGCAGATGACCAGGTTTTGAAGCTGTTCGTTGGATTTGAGGATAGAAGTTGGTTGTATATGGGTGAATATCAGACTGTTAAGACGTCGTCCCTAGATCCAGATGAGTTTGCTAGTTTGCCGGACAAGGTATGTCTCTTTTCAATGCACAGACACCATTTTTGTTTCGTTTTTTCTAACTGGTCTTTTGTAGACAAAGAAATCCTGGGCCAAGATGATCAATCAACGAAGTAAAGACAGCGAGATTCGAGCCAGGATGGCTCTTCGAACCCAACTACATCGTACGCCCACGGAGACGGAAACCAAAGATTGGCTCAAGAAATCCGAGAACATCCCTTATCAAACCATCTACGCTTCATTTGCTTCTGGTGAAGAAGTACGTCAGACTTATAGTTCTCGAGTTGATCTCTGAGCCTTACTCCTTGTTCCTAGCGCATTCATATCTGGCAATTCAAATGCGTAGGATATGACAGTGATTTCCAACAAGAACTTGTAGATAAATATCAAGAATTCGACAAGAATCTACAACTTGACAAAGAACAGAAAGCCAAAGCCAAAGAGACTTCTTCATCTACTTCTAAAGGGAAATCCTCAGTCAAGAGAACAGCGACCAGCACCTCTGCCATTACTCCTCGAGCTAGAAGAAAGGCTGTTGCCACTACGAATGATGGACAAACTTCGACTGTTGTTGCAGTTCCTCTTTCGAAGATTGGGCCTCCCAGGAGAGTACATCGCAGGGAGTTAGCGACGGGTCCCTCTACTTCTGCACCTACTCTTGCACCCGCCCCTGTCCCTGTACCGATACCCACTGAAACATCGTTAGCACCACTATCACTCTCCCAGTCGCAAGCTGAAGCCCCTCCGGTCCAACCGATTCAGGAACTACCTACGCCTCCGCCCACTGCAGATGGATCGCGACCAGCCAACGAAGATAAGGATACAACCCCCGTCACTCTACCTCAGGTCATTAGCACTGCCGAGGACGAGGGAGATATGGGATCCATGATACCATCAGGAGCGTTAGTTGGAGAGTCGGGAATGACCTCAGATGATGATCCTTTGACAGAGTTGGATGACGACGACGACGACGACGATGCTAAGGATCCGAATTGTTATGTTGGTAACGGTGGCCCTTAAACCCGCAAATGTTGTTTTATTTTTTCTTGGATGTATCTCGAGAATCTTGTTTGTATTGAGGTATTTGATATTGAGTATTTGTTACGCCTGCTTGACCCATGGATCTTGACTTTTGTAATTAATGTTGTATATAAGCACACTGCATGAAAAATCTCCTGCAACCGTATGCAAGCTTAAGAACAATATAACATCTGTATTCATACATACATACAATCTAGTAAATACAAAAGAGGAAACAAAACGATCAAGATGTGAATGTATACCGAAGGTCCGCAAAACAAAACAATATGAATGTAAAAATGGAGAAGGAAAGTAAGTTACATCAACTTCGCCTCTCTTTTCGCTTGTGCAACTTGAGCTAAGCGATGACTCCTCAGAGTCATTTGAGCACTTTGTCCACCTTTCTTGTTGTTAGTTGGGGGAGGAGCTGCTGGTGCGATTGTCGTTTGAGCGAATGAGATTCGAGTTTCATCAGATGCGAATCCTGGGATTCGAATGTTGTGGTTGCGTTCTACACAGATTTAACATAGCATATAAGCCACATTAATTCCAATCTCGAAGACAACAAACACGAACCTAGATGGAGTTGAAGATCTCGGACTTCAAGTGAATCGCCCCCTCGGTGTTTGGCTAGTCTGCATCCGAAATTGGTCACGGAATCGATGAATTCGTCTGCGATGTCCAACAAAAGCTAAACAAAACAACAAAGGAAACGAGAGGCACAACAAAGAGTTCTTTGATTAGAACATGCGAGCGAGTGAGAGTACACAACTTACATCTTCAACTTCAGGTTCAATCTTCACATTTGGATCAATGCTAGAAACCAGATCTTGTATTGATCTTCTCATACTTTGATCGCCAGGTGAATTCTTTCTTCTAACTCTAGTGTCTTCCAAAGTCAAGACACTAGCGTCATCAGGTTTGGCGACTTGTACAGGTGTACCTATTGCAAAGAAACCAATAAAATCCCGATAACCAAAAAATTGGGTTATTTCGTCTTTCTACAATCGACTCTTGGACTGATTCTCATCGTATGACTGACCAGCTACACGCCCACTCGGTACCCCACCGGTAAGAGTAGGTCTTCCTTGTTGAGAAGCAGGCCATTGAGCTGGTGTTGTGCTGCTAGTCACGTTGACGGTCTGACTGATTGGGTAGACTGATTGGAGGTTCGCAGGTGATTCACTCAAGAGCGGAGTTTGAGTAGATGACTTGAGAGCAGGCGATGAAGTAGAAGTCGCAGCAGGCTCAAAAGAGAGCACGAAGCCACGAGGAAGGAGAATATAATGTTAGACGTTGCGTTCTGAAAGTTCAAAGTTATGGAGTGTATAACCTACCTGTTGTGAAACTGCCGATGCAGTAGAAGGATTGGCAGCTGCATTCGCAGCAGCAGCTTTGTGTTTATCCGCGAATTCTTTCAACTGTGCACGCAAGGTAAGGTAAGTGGCGGATCGGATTTTTGTAAGAACTCACCTGCATGATTTGTTGTTGGTTTAGCTTTCCTTGCTTCATGAGCTCGCCAAGCTGGCTCATGTTCTGAAGAAGCAGCTGAGCAATTCTCTCCCCTGAAACGGGGTCGCCATGTTGATTCTTGAAGGCAGCACCGAGAGCAGCGATGATAGAATTTCCTCCATCGGTGTTCGGTGTAGAACCGTTACCATTGCTTGAGCCAGCGAGGGGTTGTTGATTGTTTGGAGTGGCCATGTTGCAGTAAGGAAGAAGAGAACAGGAAGCGAGCACTGCAAGATGATAGTAGGTCAAGCAAAGAACAAAGAACACTTTCAGTTTCAAATCCAGCGGGAAGATTCAAGTTGTGCACTGTCGGTTATATGCGACAACATGTTGTCATCGGGTCGATAGCGAAGTTGGTTATCGCATCTGTCTTACATAATCATAGTATTCACAGAAGGTCCTCAGTTCGAGCCTGGGTCGACTCAATTTTTCTTCGGGGGAGGAGAAGACTGGCTTGACATAGGTTATGCATACTCAGCTCGTATGCATCTCATAATAAGACGTGATCTCGAGCTCAGTGTGGCGACTTATGTAGAAATAGTTCAACAAGGCTTTGAGCGGAAAATATTATATCACTAACCATACATTCCTCTAACGACAAAAACCAATGTGGTGTATCAATCAGTGGGAAGAGCATCCCTCACAGAATTCAATGGTCTCCGAGATTTATGACATTCCATACATTGACATACTCCATAGCCCCACTCAAGATTTGTTCCCACTCAGACTGGCCAAGCTCCTTCACAGCAGGAAGAAACCGTGGGGTATGAGTCTTGATATCCAGTGCATACTGCAAGAGTGTGACTTCAACACGCTCTCCTTGCTGCCATTGTAAAAGTGCACAATATACCTGTTTTAATGTTAATATCCCGAGATGTCTTCAAATGATTATATGAACAAAACATTACCGATGCTGTCACCAAAGCTAATGCACCCACTGGTGGTTGCGCGATATCGAGAACACCATCCCAACACAAAAAAAGATGATACGCAAAAGCACGAAGAATCATCCTTGTCATGAACATGGCACTCCGATGCTGTTGTTTATCAGTTAGAGGTAAAATTCAATATACATCATGGAACTCACTCTTCGATGTCTATCCTCGATGAATATCAATTTTAAACATACAAATGGTCCTGTTTCACCATCTCCCAGAAGGTAGGTGACGAGAGCTCGACGCTGTCCAGGTGTGTTTGCATTCAGATCGTGAAACTCTTTCTCTACGACGGCAAGAGCGTTAGCAATGATCATCCTACGCCACTGTAAAATTGTAGATTTTGTCTATTCACGGTGCATCATGCTATCAGATCAGCGCAATCAATGAAGTTCTCAGGACTCACCTGTTTGAACGGCAACCCGTCAACCACAATCTCAAATGGAACATCAGGGAAAGCATCGTCCCATTCTGCTTGGATGAGACCACATAGGGCATCAGTTTCAATGACCCACGGAGTATCTGACTTGGCCACATATCCTATACAACGTGATAGAATACCAGCCCATTGGATGAGTTGTTCTTGTGAGAGGATTTCGGCCATATCGGTGATGTCTCCCTTTCGCTTTAGTCCAAGATATCCTAGTCCCCCCAAAACAAGTCCAATCCCCGCATTGACTGGACCTGCAAGTGCACCTCCCATAGCTATACTCTGCAATGTTGCAAAAGCAGAACCGGCGGCAACATTTCCAATACCAGCCTGTATTCCTGCAGCGACGCTTCCTACAAAGGTTACAATTAGACAAGTGAATCTCAATGGACAATGTTAATGATTATACCTGCAATTGGTCCCGCCGCACCGAACCCAACTGCCCCAAGGACACCTCCAACAACTACTGGCGCAAAAACTAATCCTCCTACTGTCGTCGCACCTGCAATGAGCACATTTCTCACAGCAGGGGATAGACCAACATCGCCGTTGTTGTTGTTGTTGTTGTTGTTGTTGTTGTTGTTGTTGCTGTTGTTGTTGTTGTTGTTGTTGCGGGAGACATCTAGATATCTTTCAGTCATATTCAATCATCATCGCCACAAAACTGACTGTTTGTATCACCTGTAAAGTGACAACAAATGCATATGGTGAATTGATGATGTTGAGTATGGACTATCGAGACTCAATCGAGATTGACCGTTGTTACCAGACATATCGCGGTCGTTTTGTGGCACTTGTTAATCGAAGCTTGGTTTGGAATAAAACTTGGAGGGGTATGAGAGAAAGAGAGACGGCGAGAGTGCGTGTTCAGCTAGACACGAGTGGTCCGCAGGGCCTCGTTGAAATCGATACAGTGTTTGAGTTTGAAGCTACCCACGCAAAATCGAATCTGTAGACGTAACGTGTAACGAGTGCTTATATGACATCTGGTATAGTTACAAAATGCGACACTTATAATATAGCAAAGTACAGAATTCATTCATAGCTGTTCATAGCTCGGATTTGTATAACGACAGCAGTTCAATGCTATCATTATATAGGAATTCGAAACTATGAACAGCAGGGATCAATCCTTTGCTATCACGGAAGCTTGCTCGGTAATGGAACGAGTCTTCTAGTGGTAGTTCTCTGCAAGCATAGGTGTGTGGATCAATAAACAGCTGAAGAGGTTCATTGTAATTTCAACATGAAAACTTCACTGTGGTATCTTGAACGACATAGCATCACTCACCTTCCCGAACCTTGCTTATACAGAATACATGTTCCCCGATGAGACAACGTTCAAAAGCATCAACATCGTCAGTTTCAAGTTTTCAACTTGCAGTGAAGTATCAATCGTCGTGGTCAAGGTCACGTGTGAGTAAATGCACACATGGTTGCTGCAGGGTGATGAATTTATACTTCTTTCCCTAGTATCATGGGTCGGTGGCGTAGTTTATCGCATCTGTCTAACACACAGAAGGTCCTCAGTTCGAACCTGGGCCGACTCAAAAATATGTTTTTCATAGTCTCCTTCACAGACCTCGAAAGGGAAGATAGTCGTTCCCTTCATAGAGATGTTTTTCAGATGTCAGAATGATGTTTGGGCCTGCCAGTGTGTCAAGAAAAGTAGGCTTGTGCTGAAGACAATGTGGAGTGTTGGGAACTGGCCTCAACTTTTTGTTCCAAGAAGTTAACCTGACGTTCACGTTGAACGTTTGGAACTACCCACGAAGAATTGTGTCGAATTAGGCTTGCGGAAAGTAAACTGGCATATACCCATTGTGGGTGTTGCGAATAGGTTCAAATATCTTTCTGCAATGATAGCATGATCTTTCCAAGAACATATGGACAGAGGACTACAGCGAGGAAATTGAATACTCATATGTACTCGAATACCGGTAAGTAATAAGCAGGTAGAGACGGTCATCAAACGATGAACCTATCACTCACCTTCCTTGAGGCCGAGCGGACATTGAATCTCAGAAAACGAGATACGTCTGTCATGCATTGAAGTTGGTGATATGTAGTACTGAATATATAGAGTATATAGAGTGTATATGAAGATATACGGAACTAAAGGAATAAAGATACGCACAAGTCAATGTATACGGAGACAAGAGAAATGTTACATGTTACAGTGTGGGTGCTACAAATAGATCAGTCCATAATATCCGAGAGTCATGAGTACAAAAATAAGGGACTACAGGTATTTATATGAGTATGTATATATGAGAGAAACTGGGAACAAGAAAAAAGAAAAGAGAAAAGAGAGAAAAGGAATCACAGACATTGGAACAAGGTGACAAGAACATGGCAAAGGAGACTTCCAACAACAGAGCTCCAACGGCAATAAGTGGAATGGCATAATTCGGGGACGGCAGGCAGTGAGAATGTCTGAAGGACATTGACGGCTCGGGTGGACCTGAGTGGGATAGACAGCTTGCATGACCGGCAATGATAGGACGGGATGCGGCAGACAGACGAGTGAGGAGGACAAAGGACCTGGAACGACGGTATGTGGGTCATGTATAAGGTGGTTGGTTGTGAGAGAGACTGGGGATGACATGAACCTCGCTAAAAGAGCGGCTGTATTCAAGTCGGGTATATGTAGTCTCGGCGACGTCAATTTTTTTTTTTTGCTTTTATGTCGTTGTCGGTTCTTGGGGGTCAGACTCCTTTGGATGATCAGTCCAAAGGAGACGACCATGACAATGGCAGCCAGATGTGCGAGGTGATCAGTATCACACAAATGACATCGGCCACCGTCAAGATGTTTTACATGATCGCTCATGGTCTGTCCGTATCCATAGTGCTCATGTAGAAGTCGTCCACTGATTGAAAGGTCAAATGAATCCGAGAATATGTCTTCATCCGAGACGAGCCTTCAGAATGTCGATGGGTGCCTGCAAGAATTAGCCGTATGTACGCGTCTACAACAAATGTCAACACATAAAGCCAAGATGAGTAGATACGACCAATTGGACTTACTGTGAGTATTGTCATTGGAAGCCGTTCGCCATGATGTGCCATGATGTTCCAAAGGTGTGGAGCCCAACACGAAGAAAGCACGTTGGCGCCTTGTACTGACTTCGTGTTGGTCGGGGTGGGGATGAGATGTATGCAATATATGTTATGTAACTGAAAGCAATGAGCAAGGGTAGTGAAGAAGGAATGCTATGATAACTCACATTATATCTTCGCGAAGCAGTCCTGACCTGTGTTCTGAACGAAGCATCGAGATGGAGAACGTAGACGACGAGGTCGTGCTGCACCCATCCAAGTCCGCCTCATCAGTACCATTTCCCCATCCACCTCAGGCTCCGAATTTCCCGAGGCTTCATGGTTCACAGCACATTCAGAGACGTCGTCGAGAGGAGCGTACAGTGGGCTACGAGAAGGAAAACAAGTCAGAATGGATTCATGACAAAGTGATATGCAAGGCCGCTTACTCGAGTATTCTCTTTGTCCCCTTTCTTATCCGTCTTGCTGCCATCTGCGTGCACCTCACTGTCAATGGGCTTAGGGAATGAACGATGAGCAGCCGATGAGGTGGATGATGCTGGAGTACGACGGGTCAGTCTTGCAGAGAGCATAGTCCTGCGTGCCTCCGAGTCTGGGCGTTCCTCGATGAATTCGCGTAAGCGGGCATATGAGGAAGAAGGGCACATTTCCATCGACGAGTTTGATGGTGACAAAGGATCTGACTGCTCTTCGCGTTGAGGAAAGAGACGGCGAGCAGCAACTGAACATGATGAAGTGGGACTGAACCCAGTGCCTTGCGGAAAGGTGGCATCTGCGAACGAATTCCATTCCTTTCTCTCCTTGCCAAATTCGAGTATACAGTCCGCAAATGAGGACGATGGGGATGCACTCAGGTGTGTCGGTGGGACAGCCGGTGTGAGGTGGGATGATGACGTTCCCACTGGGACTCCCTCACTACATGTGGTGACAGCAGGCTTTGCAGTGAAAATCTGTCGGGCGGCGGCAGCACATGACGATGAAGGACTGAACCCTGTAG